GGCCCCCCATCCAATCATCCAATGGCAAAGCAGCAGTGACTCGGCCTCATAGATTCCTCTTCCATTCCCGCGATCCTCTTTTTTGACTAGAAAAGGTGGCTTGCTTTCGGTTGGGACCAAACTCCGAAGACCTGGACTAAGGGCTGAGGCTCAACTGATGCACTTTGTCGAGGTGCAAGGCTCGCCATGGGAGCTCTCATCGTGAGCACCGTCCTCCTGACATGGGAATCACCGGGCTTGTCGCTTGATTCCTTCAGCGCTAGTGTGTCCAATGCAGCGGGATTGTCATGGCTCCCTTGTGCTTGCTGCAATGCTGAAATTGTGTCTTTCCACCACATTGCGCTTCAGCTGGGTGTGCCCATCCTTTGCAAGGTCCGCCAAACCATAGATCTCCTGCAGGAGATACTCCTGAATGCAGCAACCCGAAGAGACAGCATGCGAAATGGTGCCAGGACACGGGCATGCGCCATGCGACTGTGAACCTTGCAGTCTGCATCTCAAATCTCAAGACCCATCCAGCCATCTTGGTGAAACAGCTCGCCTTTTTAATAGCACATGGCGATGCATGAGTCTAAGTCAGTCTCAACGTTCGTGAGAAAATGGCGATGCACAAGTCTTCTTCAATCTCAGCGTTCGTGTTCTCTCCACGCAGCCACGTGCAGGTGGCAGTAGTGGAACAAAGCTCCAGAGGGCCGTGAGCTACCAGGCTTCTTGCAAGGAAGGCCCTTGCTACGCGTGCTAGCGTGGCAAGCCTGTGTGGCACGGGAAGCTTGGCCTGGAGAACGGGCAAAGTTCTCTCTGGGGCGGCTGAGGCTGCGAAGCATGGAGTCGCGGCGCACCTTGTCTCCTGTGGCAGTGCCCGGGGATCTCTGCGTGGTGCGCCGCTGGGGTGTGGAGGGTGGTGTTTTGGCTTGAGGTGAGGCGCCTGGAGCTTTGCAAAGCAAGCTGGCTACCCATGCAGCTGGCCTTGCACCGGCACTGCGCGTCACGGACTGAGAGCGCGTCCGCGTGGTGAGCCCAGTACCCCCAGTTCGGGGTGTTCGAGGGGAGCGGCCACGGCGCGCGTCTGGGGCGCTGGCCTCAACAGGGTGGGAGGGTGACCGGCCGCGGCGCAGCAAGGGGCCCCCGGCCTCAGATCCGGCCTGACTTGCCACGGTTGGTGGCGTCTGCACCGGCACGAGGGAGGCCTTCCTCTTTGGCGTCGTCGACGGAATTGGCGACAGGACCTCGGTGCTGGAACTGGGCGTCAAACTCTGCAGACGCACCGCGGCCAGGCGACAGGCCATGGCATGTGCCGAGGGTCGCGGACTGATGCCCATCTTCAAGCACTCTGCCTCCAGCTGCTCCGGTCTCAAAGTCAACAAACTCTTCACGGCAGCACGGCCCACGGCACTCACTGGGGTTTTCGGCTGTGGCGATGTGGGCACCCCTTGATCCTTGGTAGGTGTGCCTTGTGTGCCTTGTGTGCCTTGTGTGTTCTGCCTAGGTGTGTTCTGGTGTGCTCTCTGCCAGTTGGGGTCCGGGCTCTTGCCCCGCACCCTCTTGGCCGGGCGCAGGGGATCTGGACTGGCGCTGCGCAGGCTGGGCGCTGGGCTCTTCTCGCGGATGCGTTTCCGGGCTCCGCCATCGCAGGACTTGGAGCGTTGGGCCAGCGGGCGCTTCTTGGGATCGGCTTCTGGGCGCGCATCTGCCTCAGCCTCGGTCAAGTTAGCACCTGCAGGCTTCAATTGTTGTTCCATTCCTTGCCGTGAGAAATGGGGCGTCCCAAAATGAGTGGTTTCGCTGTAAAACGGCCGTGCATAAAGAAGGCTGTCCTCACAAAATGTACCATATACATGTATTCCCGAAGTGAACCCACCCCGCCTTCGCCACGGCATGTGGCTTCCTTCAGCTCCTTCCCGTTTGGCGGCACCCCTCGGCACGCTTCCTGCAGCTGCTTCCTGCTAGGCGTGCTGGGTGATGCGAAGCTGGGGCTCGGCGCACACGAGAAGGAGGAGAACGAGGACATGCGATCGATCAGCAAGCGCTGGATGAGATCTTTGCGGAGGCCTTCAGAACTGACTCCTCGCTGGATGCAGAGCTGCCTCAGAAAAAGGCAGATAGCCTCAGATAGCCTAAAGAGCCCAACCGGGTCATGGGAAAAAAGAACGAGTTGTGCTTGGATTTGCAACTTTTATTTTGGCATGCCTTTACAGATACATCGACTTGACAAGGGCATGCGCTGCATGGTGAGCTCGATGGATCCTCGTTCAATCCCGAGCCAAAACCTGGGGAAACAATGTATGTTTTTTTCTTCCTGGGTTCGGAGGATTCTCAGCAGAGTTGCTTGATTGTCCAATGCTTGATGGATGCCTTCAATCGCAAGGATCTCACTTGCATAAGGGTTGCTTTACCAAACAAATATGTGTTCTCAATGCCAAGCAGTGATCCACCACACGCGCAACTGCAGTCGAAGTAGGGGGGCTTTGTGAAATTCTGAACCACTACTGAACCAACACTAAAGCAATTTCCATCCAATACTTATCTAATAAAGCACGAGTACTGCAGCAATACTCACCAACTTCTACTTCAATAGGAAACCCATATTACAGCAACTAATGCACAACCAGAGCTAGACCCAAACCAAACGACTTTTGACCAATAGACTCGCCGAGTAATTGAATCAATGCCAAAAGCCAAGTCCCAACCAATACCCAGCGTCAGACAACATATTTCGCCAGGCCTTACCCCAAAACATGGGGTGGGCCCAGGGTTTGCAATTTGGGTGGGCCTCCCATCTCCTCCCGGATTTTTGTCCGTTGCTCATCTACACTAATTCCACAGCGAGGTGCCGGAGGCTGGTCGGATGCATTACCCCCAATTCGGTTGCCTCATTTGCCAGCGACAATGCTTGTGTCAGCGTCATCTCCTGGCAGACAAACAATGCTTGCAAGCCGCGTGCTGCCTGGCTGTTAGCACTAGCAACTCTGTCAGTGTCTGGCCCCGCTAATTTTCACACGTGCCCTTCAACTTCCACTTTTGAGACTTCTCCTTTGCCGGATGTGCATGACGCATGGGCGTGCTTGGGGCGCAGAAGGTGGACGTGTCCTTGCCTTCCTTCTGAGCTTCCGCAGACATGCGCTGATTGAAGCGCGGCGCCTCATCTGCCTTGCGCGGCTCCGACTTTGGCTTGGGCTCGGATGGCACGGATGCAACCTCCGGTTTGTCGGAGTCCGAAGTTGGCCGGTAGACTGGAGCGCTCCCGCTTCGTTGAAAGGTTCCTATGTTCCTGGCCTGCTTCTGAGGTTCTGCCGACTTACTCCGGGTCACATGCGGCGAGGCCTTGTCAACTGCCTTTTCTGGCTGTGACTTCACTGTGGACGCAAACGTTGGCTGTGGCTGGCAGGCTCGGGCAATTCTGCTGTGGGCCATGTCCTTGCTCATCCTTTGAGTTTCTGCAGACACGCTCCGGGTCACCTGCAAGGCTGCGTCGGCCTTGCGAAGCTCCGACTTCGGCTTCGCCTCGAATGTTGAAATGCAGCCTGCCTCTGCTGGCCTTAAGATGTTCTGAGAGGCCATGTCCTTTCTGTGAACTGCAGACATGCTGTCCCCCTCTTTATCTGCAGCCTTGCGTGGCTCCGACTTTGGCTTGGGCTCGGATGCTTGCATGGATCCCGCTGCTGCTTCTTGTGTTGCTGCATGACTGTTTGCACTTGCAGCTCTGGCGCCTGAGCGCAATGTAAGCATCGATCTTGCGACCTCTGCGGCCTTTTCCCAAACGCCCTTGGGCTTTGGAATTTGGGCCTGCTTGGCCTGCTTGGCCTGCTGGGGTGGCTGCAGGGGCCGGGGCGGCTCGGGCCGCTGGGGCGGCTGGGCAGGCGGCCGGTAGGCAGGCAGGCTTGAGCTGCGGAAGGCCGCATCCTTGCCCTCCCTCTGAGCTGCGGCAGACATGCTCCGGGTGATGCGGGGAGAAGCCTTGGGAGCAGCCTTGGGCGCAGTCTTGCGCTCTGGCCTCTTGGGCTCGAAACCCTTCTTTGGACTGCGCAACTTCAGCTCCTTGTGGATGAGCTGCTGCAGCTGTGGAATGAACTCCTTGGAACCAAAACAATTCCGAGGCCTGATTCATACCATCAAAAACGCTCACTTCAAACTTCAAACCCTCAACTCTGAACTGCTAGTCAAGATTCTTCTGGCTCCTCTAGAACAGACAGAAGCAGAGGCTGCTGGAGAGCGCCCACCGCCGCAGAGAAGCTTCGTGGCAAGGCACACAGCACGCAGGCCGCGCACACATCAACCTGGAGAGGGGTGGAGATATGTTCAGATGTAAAAACAAAAATGCGCCACCGGCCATGGAAAGCGCTGAGTCAACAACTGAGCCCATGAGCTCAACATACAGCGGCGCTGCTGTGCAAGAATCTATTGGTTCAGAATCTGAGACTCTGGGCATCCCCGTCACCTCCCCAAGACAACGCCAGTCAACTCAGAATTTGAGCGTCAATGACCATCTACCAAAGTGTCTTCTTCAGCAGCCACCATTTGGTTGGCAAAAACGGTCATTACACTAGCCATACCATCTTTGCCAAATTGTTCCGATTCCGAAGCTGCGAAGGACCTCGAGCGATTGCCGGACCCTGAATGAAAGTTAGAGCTACTGTTTCTTGGTTGGCAGAAAAGCCCGTTGCCCAAAACAAACACTCAGAATTTTAGTGTATTAGTTTCTTAATTTGGGCCAGGGGCTTGTTCCCCCAAAAGGAACTGATTTATTACCATCATGGGCTGCCATGGGCTTGTACATTGACTGCAGTTTGCCCCTTAAGGGCAGCGGGCGACACAGGCGCCGGACAGAAAACAAACATGACTGCTCATGTACGAATCTGCCAAGAATCTCAATGTCACTGGCGCCATATACCTGCTTGGCAAGAGCAATACTTGCCTAAGCATGCGAGTGACACTGGCCAGATCCTTTCATATTCTTATCCAGCGGTTGGGCTGTATTTCTCGAGTTGGACCAAACATGCACCACCTTTTTTCTGGTGAGCGGCTGAGCGCAGTTTTCCTCGATCCTCTGGATGCAAAACATCCTTGAGAAATAAAATGAGCCTTCAATTCCTTCAATTCCTTGTGCTCTCGTGTTCAATGCAAGAACACGAACACCTCCCACTTCGGCAAGCCAAAGGCCCAGGCCGAGGCCTGAATGGACAGGGGCCAGGAGGGCGTCGCACTCAGCCGCTGATCCTCCGGCAGCAAGATCTCCGGCAGCTCGAGGCACGCCCAGGGCAGCTCCAGGGCTCCCTGGCCTGGCACCTCCGGCCCAAAATGCCGCCCAAAGCAACCAAGGGATAATAGGGACAAGACCAAGGAGCAAACCAGGGACAAAAGGCCAACAAATAAAAAGTGGTCCATGTTGTGGTGTTTCACACTCCGCAAAGGGAAGGATCACGTTTGAGAAGCTCCCACCTCCAGCGCAAGGCTGTTTCGGGTGAAGGTCACTGTAGCATTCTCTGCCAGAAGTCTGCCCCACTGGAAGGAACAGGCGCAGGGTCCCAGAATGCCCCCCTGACATTCACGGACCTCCTGCACCAGGCCCTCCTTCTTGTTGTAAAATTCCTGCAGGGTCTGCCAGTCGAACAAAAGCTGTTTTCATTTCAGACATCATCTCTAAACGATCAAAACAGTTGCCATTTCAGATACAACTTTCTGAGAGCAAACGCAATCCCAGGTGAATCACTTGACTCACTCCTTGGGGCTGATCTTCTGCAAGAGCTGCACAAAGGTTTTGCCCTTGACCTCCAGCAGCCATCGCATGTCTTGCGGCGCCTCGCGGCGGCTGCTCCGGCTGCGGCCGCGATTCGAGCTCTTGTCCTTGTCCAGGTCGATGGGCTTGATGCGTCGGATGCACCGCCAAAGCAGCTCCAGCAATGGCGCCTACGCAGTTGGAAGCCGAGCATGCGTACTCAAACCCCGTTCAAACCCCTGTCTTGGTTTGGTTTGGAGAATGGTTCGCCAAGAAGAAACCACACCAGGAGAAATGAAATGCCAATTCAGGGGTTTCCTATGCTCCCACCTGCAGCTTGGGATCCGGCGCCCTGAAGAGCAGCAGCTCGGCCAGCGCCCGGAAGCTGCGGCCCGTGGCTAGGCGGAACTCCGCTCCCTGCAGCCATGCGCAGAAGGCATCGGTTCGGGAAACCGTCTGAAGAGAAAAACGGGTTCAGGAAAGCAGAGCAACAAATCAATGAACGGATGAAAACATGAGCGTGGAACTGCTGTTGTCGTTGTTGTTGATGCAGTTGTTGCTGTTGTTGTTGTTGCTGTTGCTGTTGCTGTTGCTGTTGCTGTTGCTGTTGCTGGTGCTGCTGCTGCTGCTGCTGCTGCTGCTGCTGCTGCTGCTGCTGCTGCTGCTGCTGCTGTTGCTGTTGCTGTTGCTGCTGCTGCTGCTGCTGCTGCTGTTGCTGCAGCAGCTGCTGCTGCTGTTGTTATTGTTGTTGCTGTTGCTGTTGCTGTTGCTGTTGCTGTTGCTGTTGCTGTTGCTGTTGCTGTTGCTGTTGCTGTTGCTGTTGTTGTTGTTGTTGTTGTTGTTGTTGTTGTTGTTGTTGTTCTTGTTGGTTGTTGGTTGTTGGTTGTTGGTTGTTGGTTGTTGGTTGTTGGTTGTTGGTTGTTTGTTGTTGTTGGTTGTTGTTGGTTGTTGTTGTTGTTGTTGTTGTTGTTGTTGTTGTTGTTGTTGTTGTTGTTGTTGTTGTTGTTGGTGGTGTTGTTGTTGTTGTTGTTGTTGTTGTTGTTGTTGTTGTTGTTGTTGTTGTTGTTGTTGTTGTTGTTGTTGTTGTTGTTGTTGTTGTTGTTGTTGTTGTTGTTGTTGTTGTTGTTGTTGTTGTTGTTGTTGTTGTTGTTGTTGTTGAAGTTGTTGTTGTTGTTGTTGTTGGTTGTTGGTTGTTGTTGTTGGTGTTGTTGCTGTTGTTGCTGTTGCCGTTGCTGTTGTCGTTGTCGTTGTCGTTGTCGTTGTCGTTGTCGTTGTCGTTGTTGTTGTTGTTGCTGTTGTTGTTTTGTTGTTGTTGTGTTGTTGTTTTGTTGTTGTTGTTGCTCATGCTCATGCTCGTGTTCTTGTTGTTGGTGGTAGTGGTGTTGCTGCTGTTTCTGCTGCTGTTGTTGTTGTCGCTGATGCTGCTGCTGTTTTTTGCCGAGGCTGTGGTTGTTGTTGCTGCTGTTGCTGTTGCTGTTGCTGTTGATGTTGTTGTTGTCGTCGTTGTCAGTGTTGTTGTTGCTGGTGGTGGTGTTGGTAATGGTGTTGGTGTTGTTAATTTCTATTACTATTATTATTGTTAGTATTATTATTACGGTCGTTGTTGTTGCTGTTGCCGTTGCCGTTGCTGTTGTTGTTGTTGCTGTTGTTGTTGCTGCTGCTGTTGTTGTTAGCGCTGTTGCTGTTGCTGTTGCCGTTGCCGTTGGTTGTTGGTTGTTGGTTGTTGGTTGCTGGCTGTTGTGTGTTGTTTGTTGTTTGTTGTTTGTGGGTTGGAGTGTCTTGTTTGT